GAAATTAAGTCAAATATTGATCATAGTTGGTATAAAAGACAAAACAATTCAGTTGCAATTTTGTCATTTGTGTTACTGCTTCCTCATAGGAACAACTTCCCTTCTACTGATCATAAAATATTTTCGATTCTACAACATCCCACCTAAAGTCACTTTGTCTAATCTTCAGTTAAATTATTCATATTTCAAGGGCTCATGAGAAATGGAAATTTTCAAATACAGAAGTCTCCTCTGACTTGCTTCATTTTCCCATATCATTTGTAAACCACAATCGACGAGTTGTTTTCACTCATTTGTCGACTCAGGAAAGAGATTAAGCCAGGTACCGTAGCATTTATGTTTTCCGTTGCTCAGAAAGCGGTGAGGTTTACTACATCATGAAACCAGAGATTTCCACCTACAGTGAAAACGAACGAGTGATTTCATGACACCCTGGGCGAATGAAGCCTGTGACAAATGGAAAGTTGACGTCGCAACTGAAGAATGCATTCGATATACCGAGATCATCACATTGAAAATCATTTCTATTGAAAATGCAACTTGATTATTATGAACTGTGATACACTAACCAAAATAATGCACAATTTCGAATAACTGTGCAATATCTGTGACGAATTGTTGATGTTTGTGAATTCATTTCAGAGGAGTCAGTTCGTTTGTGCTTTTGATATTCGCGTTGGTGCCAAAAGTTCGATCACGACCAATTGGTGCCTATATCATGCTTTCAATTTTAGTAAGTGTAATTTTTTAAACCGAGCAAAAAATTGTGAGGATTTACGCTTACTTGTTTTTGACTGAATAGATGTCATTTCGCGTGGTATTTGAATGGGTCTACACTCACCTCTAGTGACTCTCCCGTTGACGTGTCCCATCCAAGAGCGGGACAGGCAATGCAAGCTCCGAAATTCAGATTATGATTCTATTTGACAACAAAGAACTTCATTAGAATACATCGTCATCATCCTCAACGATGGATGATGAGGTATTAATATTTTCCACTGTTGAAATCTTAGCCATTCTAGTTGTCAGGCGGTAATTAGTCGGCCAGTGCAGCTAACTGCAGTTTGCAGAGGTAACGCTTGTCAACATGTATAGGATGATCCACAGTTCACAGAATGACAGTAACTTCTAACGGATTGTTTATTTTTGTTTGATCGTCAGTGATGAGAATGTGGCTAATCTGTTTGTCCATTCAGCGTTGAAAATTTACCGTATTTCTGTAGTCATTGTAAATGTGTGTGTCTATATATATGTCTATGAATCTATCTAGTGTGATCACATGTTCTCATTTCGCTTTCCCCTTTGTCATAGATCGCATTGTTGTCTGTGGGATTGGCTGCCCTTTTGTCGCCTGTTGGACTGAAAGCTGGACTCATATCTCTGGCCTGTATACTTGTGGTGGAAATTCCAATAGTTGTGTTGGCTATGCGCATGCGTCGAATGAGTGAAATGGGGCTGATAGTGTTCAACTCGATCACAATGTTTTTAGTGATTGTGGGACTCATCTTGAGCATTTCGGATGTGTTCTTCAAGCAAAATGTAATTATATGAATTGACATTTTATTGCATGAATTATTTGCATAAGTTTTTTATCAAAACTCATGAAATCTTCGCTTCATTCAGAAATATCCCACTGTACTCGAATCCCAGTATTAATTCCATAATTTGGAATTTTATTCGATTCCTACCGTGAGGAAGAGCGTAGGAGGAGCGGCAAGTGCTATAGGATGAGATGATGCCATTTCGTGAATGAAACGAGGAAGATATTTCATAAGGAATTGGTTTGCGCTTTAATCCAGACACCTATGTGTCGCCCATCTACTGTCATTTGCTTCTGTATATAAAGATCCTGGACAAGTGGAAACTATTATGCGATGCTTTCCACTGAATTTTCTGTGCCTTATAGAAATTCTGTTTACACTAAGACTAACGTTGCTCTTATCATTTCACAGTGCCTTCCTAGTGTCTCCTAGTGCGGCGACAAGAAACAATTTATGGGAGTATCAGTGACGAATTCCTCGGGTGATTAACTTTCCATTAAGAGAATATTTAGAGAAGCCTGCTAGCGGAAACCTGCATTGCTCCGATTTCGTCAGGCAGTCTCCATTAAACGATTCAGATCAAAACTATGTGAGCAGAAAGAGACAGTGGTAGACCTTCGACTATCCTGCCCATTAAACTTACAAAACCAAGTTTACGAAAATTAATTTTCGGTAGTTAGTTAACCGATTGCATCTTCAATTTCATGCATGTCAAATATTGTTTTCATTCGAAACAGCTTACAGTGAATTTATTTTCTAGAATTTTTCACTGGACATCCTATAAATAGTCAACACTCTTGACTGTTGGGCATATTTGACAGCTTACATCCTTCTGAGTAAATAACACTACTACTTATCATCGCCTCAAACCTACATGAAATATTACGTGTACTCCATATTTTTGGATGGATCTGATTTCAGCCAGCTGAGTGTAAGGCGTAAAATGATAAAGAATGGTATCATTTCATACTGTTACATTTGTTGTTCATGCTTTCTCTTCGAATTCTACATTTTGATTGGAAGAGTGATGAGCAATTTGACATATTAGCACCTAATCTCGTCTACAGTCAATTTCCTTATCACATATATGTATGGAATTTGGCTCGTTTGGCAACAATTCACTGGTGTGACTGTCACATTCCACGGAATATATATTGGACTAACAGAGATGTGACTGTAGTCGAAGTGGCCTAGTGTATAATGACATTTCTGTTGTCAGATAAGAAATGTGAAGTGATGCAGTGGCTGTTTATATTGAGTGAATGACATACATTCGCATATTTTAGCCTCACCACATGCTGCCAGTGTCATTGACAGGTGTGATTCAACTGTCAGAATGTTTCGATAATAGTCAGTGTCCACAGATCTCAGATCAGTAGATATGTCAATGTTGTAATTTGCATAGATTAACAAAGCTTGAGTGTACCTCTCCCCTGATGATTTATTTCATTCTCCTCATATTTTCCACGCAGATAATTGTCTTTATGGCAGTAGCTTTCTGGATATTATACCCACTCTTCGTAAGTCTGTCATTTTATCGTTGTATCAACCATGTTTATTTTGACGAGTAAATTGCACGAATTACATCAGTTATTTGATAGTCACCGAATTGCAGCGTGAATCACAGTATCGCTTAGTCGATTTGTGTTCGTATTACGTCACGAGGCACGTGAACACATCCACGATATTCGAGAGTGTATTTCCAGAGTAGATGATTTTGTACACTGTTGGACTTGAGGGATTTCTAAATCACTGAAATTATTGTAAAGTCCTGCTTTTCATTGGAGTGTAGTAATCACGATTCGAATTTATGTGGGTCGTTAATAATACGACAACCCACTCCAAGTGATTGTCTTATACAAAGACGGGTTGTGTGTTTGTGTAAGTAGGAAACGGCTGGATTATTAGCCACCTTGTATTATTTAGACTGATTGCTGTTTGTCAATGATTTCATAGTCCCTCAGCAGCCGTACGCACTTACATTTAGGGATTTTCAACAACCTCACTGTGCATGTGAGACTGACAAATCATAAAATGAATAATGACACACTCGACCCGTCATTCTTAAACTGGAATCTTCTGTAAGGTTTGAACTGAATTCTCACTAGAATATTGACAACACGCACACATCTGCTCATGTATGATCTGAAAGCCGACAGTGAATGTGTAAATAATTCTTTATTGACTCAGGTGTTTATATTTCATCAGATGAAAACAATCCTATCACATTGGCTAGATAATTATCATTAATTTGAATTGCTGTACATTTGAGAGGATCACCTGTATTCACTCATCTCTGTCAATAATCTTTCTCTTTCTCTGCATTGTAGTTATTGTTCATTTGTGTCAATAATCACGACTTGATCGGTTGGTGGATGGATTTTATTGCCGTGGAATTTACCACAGCGTTCATCATTTGGTCTTGTACGATCTTCATTTTCGGCTTGTTAGAAAGCAGTTTGGCATTCTTCTTCAATGAAACAAAACAACAGTCTGGTTTGTGAAATTCTTCTTCCGGCTTATATTTATTGACAGACAGTAGAATAGGACGATGTCACTCTGTGGGCATCTTCATTTTAATTTTGATTTTTGTGATTTCTAGTTCCTCTTCAAGAGAGAATGTTAATCATAGTTTACCTTTCTCATATTAAGTGTGCTATTACTTGCACAGACATTTACACTGATATTCGTCTTTTGTAATAAGAACACAAACCGTCTTTTTTCAAAATAACTAATTTCATTATTTACTGAAGTAAAATATTCCTTTTTGATATGCGTTTATCGAGTAACGAAAAGTACACTGGATATGATCGAAATCAGAATAGAAAATCATCACATGAGTACTCCTCCTTAAGTGAGCAACTCAGAAGTGAAATGTCGCTGAAATCTACTTACTGGTTATAGCTACTAGTTTCTAGGTTCGCTGCTTCTGAGAATATTCACATGTATTTTCACATAAATATTTCGATTTCATTGATTACAACCGACAGAATTACACATATTGAGAGATCGTAGTCCATTCTCATTCACAAATTGATTCCACCCCACATGAAATGAATTTTGTCACAATTATCGTATTGTGTGCGGATTTTTCATGTGATTCTTTGTATGTATGTAACACAGGGTAATATAATAATAATAATCTGCTTAATTCCAAACCACTACTTACAATACAGAATAGATTCCTCAGTACTTGCCACAGGATTGTATCTGATTTACTCAAAATACAAAAAGAATTAAAAATTACAACAAAATTAGGCATAGGAATTTGTCCACATTGACGAAATTAAGTCAAAAATATTCGAAGTTAGAATTGAGAATAATAAATGTAATAATACTAACAAAAACAGTGAGTTTGTTTCAAACAGTATTGTCGATTCAGTTTGGGAATTGAAGCATGTTATAGAGTATTGAATCTAATGTGCTGTTGATACAGTATGGTGAGAGGAAATACGCAATTAACAGTTATAACACAGCTTAAATGATGTCCACACTTATGAAAAAATAAACAAATGAAACACAAAATTTAAAGGATTATAAATATAAGAAGTAAAATAACAATAAAAGTTGATGTTGTAAAGAAGGAGGAAATGTTTCATTGAATAGTGCAAAGAAGATTAGTTAGTTCATGCCTAACACTATTTTTCTCACATAAACTACGTGCGAAATATAGTATAACGGAATTTTTATACTAAGACGTACCTGTACAAAGTCGTTTGAAAAGACTTCTTGTTTTACCTGAGGAGACACAAGTTTGGAGCTGTGGGTGCTGCTGTGGATGCTCACAGTCTGACAAAATACTTTTAGCCTAATTGTCGCGTGAACTCAAGTGCCTATCAATGACAATTTCGACGATATGGCCCAATGAGATGCCACTCACCCTACTGACAGTCTTCAGAGTCCTAAGAATTATGACATAGTCTATTTAGGCAATCCGGGAAGGAATAAGATGGAGCAGTAAAGAAGAATAGGTAAGATGCACGAGTTGACAAACTGTGAGAGGAGAGGTTGGGTTATGCCTGAGTGCCTTAACTTCTTAATGTAAAAAGTCAGACGAAATAATCTTTTAGAAATCGCTAAGACATGGGAAGACCAGGATTAGTCAGAATAATTAATTATTCGAAGATGCTTTACTTCAGACTTGATTCCTATATCAATATCATCCATTTCGCAAAGGTCGCAGAAATTAACAGCTTCAATTAACTTTCATTTACATCGGAAACTGAAATTAGCTGTCTGACATTTGGAAGGATTTAGTTTAAGACCAACCATTAGGCAAAGACCATTTGCTTACTCCTGATAGAAGGCTGTTCATCTTAGTACATACAGTGTAGCTGGGAGATAACAGACATGGAAATAGTTAGATCGTCTCGATACTTAACAAAGTCCACTCCGTCATCAGAGTGAGGCAAGTCAAACAAGAAGAAAGGAAACAGAAAAGGCGAAAAGACAAAGCCTTGAGAAACACCAGCCTCAGTGAGCAATGAAGTGGACGACTTTCCCTGACACACAGTGTACTGCTCCCTTCCTGAGAAATAAGAACTCAACCATTTGACAATCCAACAGTCAGTTTGAGTTTCAGCAAGCTTCTCTAACAAAATGTCCCTAGATAGTAACTAAGTCGAAAGCTGCAGCGAACAAATTCAACCCCGTTGTCTAAACTGGAGACAGTGTTATGATGCAAGACTGCAGGTGCACGTAGAGTACTTTTTCTGTGTTTATAGGCGAATTGTTTGTGATCGTCAAAGGCTTTCAGTGAAGGTTAAAGATTGAGTAGGAGTAACTTTTCCATAGATTTTAAAAAAAGGGAGGTAACAGCAACAGGTCTGAACTTAAAACATGTTCCAGTAGATGACTTGTGTATGGGTACAATTTTAATGTCCTTTCAAACGGCTTGCATGACATTTCTGGATAAAGATTCGTTAAATATGTCCATGAGAGGATAACACAGGATATCTGCACACTTTTGGGAATAGCAGTAGGCAAACCATATGAAGAAAAGTTACAAGTGGTGTTCAGAGACTAGAGACATTTTAGAACATCATTTGTATTAAAAGCAGGGAAGCAGGTTTCATCAGCATTTGCAACAATAGAAGGTGTGGCATTTGTGTGAGAATGTATGAAAGACTTGTTTAGTGTACACACATCAAAGGAATAAGGAACACTATTCATCTGCTTACCTCCAGCAATTTCTTTGATGAGCTTCCATATATTAGAAGCATTTTAACAGGATATAAACTTCTCGTTATAAATTGAATTCAATCGGTGCATTTCAGGCTTGATTAGGATGTTAGTTCTCTTCACATCAATGTTATCCTTCATTGGATATAGCTTTTCGTTTTGCCTGAGAAACTTTCCAGGTTGAGGAGAGAAGAAACTTTCAAATCTGATGAAGAGCATTTCTCTGGGACAACAGGTGACAAGACAAAATTTGAGATAACATGTGATATTGGAGATAGTGTCATCAAGAGATTCTTCATTAAACAAGTTCATCCTTGAGTCTTTGAGCATACTCCTAAGATTCTGAACATTCTCCTTAGAGTAGCATGCATGTACAATTTACTTGGAGATGTGTGAGAAAGTTCTCTTTTGTAACTTTCTATAAATTTTGGGCACAATGATCGGAGTTTAACAGTTTGTGATATCCTCAAAGGACGAATTTCAGCATCTTCGAAAACAACATTCTTCGCAGCAATACCACGAGTAGTGCTCTACAGTTGTCCATTGAACTGCAGAAGCCCAGAGCGCACGATCTCTCACCTGGTCACTTCTGTGTGCACATATCAGTTCACATGTTGATGTGGAGCCAATCCGGTACATTGGTCATTCGACGCGTACTCTGTCCAAAAGGGTTCATGAACACTATCCCACAGCATGACTACAAGAAAAGTAGTGG